GACGTTGGAATGGTCGTTGACGCACTGGTGGACGACAGGGAGGTCGTTGACGTAATTGATGTGGTCGGAGTAGTTTTCGGAGTAGTCGTCGATGTACTGGTGGACGTAGTAGGCAAATCCGTTGTGGTCGTTGTAGGCAACTTCGTGGTGGTTGTCGTAGGCGATGGCGGTAATTTACATTCTATAATCATTGAACTTGGCAATGGTCCCTCTGCACAGGCCTTGTTTTCTAGCGAGTTGCATTGGTAACATCTTAACGCGTTCCCTTTAAAAAGATTGTACAACAAATTAATAAACTACTTTTATATAACTTTTGTTGAAATTAAATTATGTTATTTTAATTAATTATAATATTATAAAGTTCTGTTAATTATATGATTGTTGCCACTGACAGTATTATAGCAATAACTTTCATTTTATTTCAAATAACATGTCGAAAGCGATTGCAAGAATATAAAAGTTGTAAACGAGCATCATAATAGTTTTATTGTAAATGTGCTTAATGTCTATCGCAACTGTCAAGACTCTATTAGTTGTCATCTTCAAATACTAAGTATTAAATAATGAAACATGAAAAATATTATAGTGTAAAAGCACAAGCAAGCAAATGCAAATACATCTATCTTCATCAATGTTAATACAGTGGCATAATTCACATTTATTCAAACAAGTTGTTCACTTGACACTCGCTTATTCACACTCGCCTGCTTAGTTTAGATCTAGCTTTATGAAATAGAAAAAACTCAATTACGCTAGCATTTTTTAAAGTGAAATTAGAGAAGCATTTTGCTATCAAAATGGTTAAAATTCTACATTAATTACAAAATTATTAATGTAATCAAATAAATTACCAAAATTTTTTAACGCATACCTGAGTAAATAATAGAAAATATAACTATTAATGTGATCACAAAGGAGCGTCCTCGCTTTGCCATGTTTGATACGTCGTGAGTTACGTCGAACCAACAACTGTCGTGATATTTCAAGAAATCTGGATATACCTTCCAACGTTATCACCGATTTTCACCATGTAACTAACTGCGATAAATGCTACATTATCGCAAGCATCAACCTCCCCAATGCTATCATTTCCTTGACGCGATTAAGATGCGAAAAATGGATTATCACCATCCCCTTGTTTCAACTATGATTTCTATCATACAAAGAAAAAATGATTTGGAGATATGTCAATTAGTTTCAACATATAGTAAATTAAAATCCATGCAGTAAATATGATATAAATTAAAAAAGAAAAATATTAAGAATTTAGTTATTACTTTCGCGTTTGATAAATTTTATTGAAAATTTTTGAAAATAGTTGTTTTTCTAGATATATATAGTACTAATTCTGCACATAAAATTGGATAGTAAAATTAATTAATTATTAATAATGGTTTTTACTCTTAACTTGTTTTTACGGTAAATTGTTATAAGTAATTGTGAGAGATAAAGTAGATTTTATTCAACATGTTATAATTGTGTGCTAATATTCATTAATTGTATCACATATACCAGCACCTTTTAAAAATGATATATTTATTTTGTTTTCCCATATTTCTCTTAAAAAGAGGGATATATATTCTTATTATATACTATAGAGTTACTGCTGATAAGGATTGATACTCATACAGAGAGAAATTAAAATAACACGAACAGTTTGCATGATACAATTATTCTCACGTTAACAGTTTCACAATATTTATATTTAAACCAATAGTTATCATTTTCAACAAACTTGTGAGTATCAGAAGTAATTGAAAAATATTTTATCATTAGACAATTATAATTATCCTAAATGTTTTTTAAATGATAATTGCTAGACTTCTATTTATGCAATTTCATAGTTCCTTGTCAATAGTCAAGAAATATTTAATAAATTTTGCTATTTATATTTATATATGAAATAAATTCTGAAACTAAATTTGAGAATACATTCTTAGCACTCTAAGCAGCCATTTTCACGGACGATTAAGCGTGACGTCGCTCGACTGGCGCGCGGGTAAACATTTTAAGTTCAGTTACAAATTATAGTTAACATTGCAAAGAATACACGTTACCGTAACATCCATATTTTTTGCGCATTCAAGCGAGAAAACTACGCGACCGTTAGATCAGCACAAGGTAGTGCTATACATCATCTTGATCGTCTCTTAATACCGCAATTATAATAAAAACTACAAAATATACCAATCGAGCAACTAGCGAGATCGATGTATTAGTATATTACAAGATGTATTAAAAATATTAAATCTTCTATATTTTATCTACGGCATGCGCACGTAACAGATTAAATTTCTGATATTCTATTAAAGTTTCCATGAAGACGAAATCAATTTCCACTCACGCATTCTACAAGCTTCTCGTAAATAAAGCTTAAAAACAAATTATTTGAAAGTAGAGTATTACACAAGCTATGGCAAACGCTTAATTTATCTCTGTCCTTCACGACGAATTCTTTGCGCGGAACCTTTCCTATTCGGGACTTTTCAATTTCATTTATACAACATCTGTTGATCCATTCAAATCATCGGTACGTTCAACTTTGCTTAATAAAACGAACAACTTTTGTGACTGTCTAATCGACTCGCGAGATAGTTCCTTTAAGATAAATAAATCGATCGTTGATTTCAATAATCAATTATCTTACTGATCAGAAAAATATCAAGTATTAAAATATTACTTATTAATTAAATTATAAAGAAATGTAAGTGAGATATATTTCTCGGATTGAAGTGACTAATACATATATTATACAAAGTAGACAATTGATTTGTAGATAATCGTTTATCGTTAAGATACAAGGATGTCGGTATCACGCTTATTATAGATACTATCAATAATTATTTACACGAACTCGCAACGACTGATACAGTATCATCTTGTCAAGATATTAATCGTTCTTTTACTCAACGTGAAACTTCGTAAAATCGTAAAAATTTATTATAAGGAAGTAATTTTCTATTAGAGATATATATCCACACACAAGACATCCTTGCGTATCTAAACACGAAAACTTACGTTATCGTTTCGATCTACGAACACTCGACGGACGTCGTTAACGTGGTATAGGATATAGCGTAGCACTGGATTAGCGTCAAAATGTCGGATTTTACAAATAACGAGTCTATTATTTTAATATACATTATTTAATCAAAACGTTTTCCATTTTAATTAATATACTGTTTCCAAAGTTCTTTTAAACCATAAATGCCTTGTTTTCTAAATGTGCCGGTTTTTACTTCCGAAAATCTGGATTCTTTTGAATAGCTTGAAGTTTTATCTTCTCGGATACGAAATTCGCTGAACCATCACTGTGCGCTTATTAACTCTATTTTCTCCAAACATGATACACATATTTTGTGTAGTTTGAGCAAACTATCTAAGTTTGCGTCATACTATATGATTGTCCAAAGATCTAGTTTTTCTACTCCAAAATGTTTTCACTTTAGAATATACTTATTAATTAGATAATAATAAACATTGGTTTTTATATATTCGTTTATCTCCAAACGTGTAAGGACATACACAATGTACATACATATGTACACTAGGAATCACTGATGTCTTTCTACATAAATTTGCGCACATATCAATACATTTCTACATTTTGCACATGAAAAATGTATATGTGTTCTACATGTATCTGAATTTGTATGGAAAGGCATCAGTGATTCCTAGTGTATGTACATCGAAAGAAAGTGTTGTTGAATTAAACAAAAATGCAATTGTTTGAAATAAACGTTGACGTCACGGGCTGCCACAAATATAAATAATTCACTCAATCGTATTTGCTATGGATTGTAATCTTAAGCATTGAACTAAATATCCAGATTATTAAGGCAACTATCTGATGTTTTCCTTTCGTCAATACTGACGTTGTTTTAACAATTTTATTGCAATTACACTGATCTTGTTGATGCAACATCTTTTCTTTTTTGTATACCTGATTTATGATTTAACATCAATACGAGTAATTTTTTTTTGTAAATAATCCAACATTTTAGCACCGATTTGATAATTGGGATTTCAGATTTGTGTGTGTGCAGATTTGAATGCTCCAGAGATAATAATTATTTCGAAGTAACTTCAAACGCGATACAAGGCATGGTAAAACCAGGGAGCGATTATGTCGTGAAAGGGGAGAACCCTATGGGTATTCGTTAGAGCGTGAAGGTATTCGCTTCCCACGCTTAAGCCGTGGAATAACAATGATGCTCACGGATGCTTGCGCAGCCTTGCCTCCGGTTGCCCGGCGTCAACGCGTTCCGCTTCGTGTTTCTTCAAATTTTGCCCCGCCGTGCTAAATCGGCTCTTTTTGATCAGGCACTAGAACGCGGAACGTAATTTCTTTCTCCCTGTCCGTCTTCTCTCTTTCTTCTTCCACTGCATTGTGCGTGATCGACGCTTCCTTGAAACATAAACGAATAGCTTTTACAAATTTTACATAAGAAATTTTTGATTCATTTATAGAATTCTCTTTTATAAAAAGAATATAGAATTGAAGATGGAACGTGTGTATCGCGGAACTGCTATAAGCAATGCTCGATAACTTTTCGTATATCAAACTGGTAACTGCAATCTTTATTAATAAACGTAGGTAGCAATAAGATATATGTTTTTCTTGTGCTTATCTTATTTTCTTTTTAGTTATTCCGCAAATTCTATCGCGAAATTAATATCAATCGATATACGTAGACATATGCACTCACACGTAGCATGCACACCGTATAAAATTGCATTGGCGAGATAAGAATATCTGATCGGTGCCAATAAGTAATGGATTTATATAGCTATCAAAAGTACCATGTGTTCCGCAATGACGCGGAATGCAGTTGATATGACAAGTAAGTTTTACAACACTAATGACGCAGCGATGCGTCAAGAAAATGTTCACTTTACGAAGATCCCGGCGTTTCCGTGTTTCACTAATTATACTTTCTTCAATAAGTCAAAGTCGTTTAGATTTATGCGGCGAAAGCCGTGGGATATTTTCAATACATTACAGCTAATTGACGCATCTAAACTATTTTTTTTTACGTTGCACGCTACCGCGGTGCATTAATATACTTAATTCTGCTGCATCTCCCTTATCATCGTTTATAGCGCGACAATCTGTTTCCGATATTGCGGAGCGATTTATTGAACGTTAAGAAAGGCAAACTTTTTTATCGATTCTTCGAAAGTATTTTTCAAGTGTTTAGCGACCGCGCGATATTCACCAGAAATAAAAGCTCTGTCAGTTTCGAAACGTTAACTTTTCTTTATGTTTTGCACGGAGCTAACAATAAGTGGCAACTTGTTAGAAACGCACGCAATGAGGTAATTATATTATTGCGCACACGCACATACTTTAGAATTGTATCAATCTTGAATTAAATCTTATAGTTTGTCTATAGTCGAATGAATGTAATAACTTTCTATCTAATTGGGTTTATTCATGTTTCGCCGTCGCGAGTCTGAAGTCGCGAGACCTGCGACGTACCATCTTCGCAAGTTTCTGCCCTTTGCGATACGCAAAGATGCGCGCAGAATGTAGAAAAAGAAAGGCGCGGAGAATGCGTGGGTGTACAAACACATTCTGGGGAACGGGGGGAGCATGGGGGATGACGCGAAGCTATATGCCAGTGGCGTTGTACGCCACTTACCGAGAGTTGTCAGGATAGAACTCCGGCGAAACGGGGACACCTGGATCAAATCGAATACATCTCTCGTGTAGCGCGTCTTTCGAGCATCGACACCTCGATGTTCCACGGGCGCGCGTCATGCGGAAATAAATTTATGGCGAATCTAAAGATCACACGAGGATCTGACGGCAAATTTATCTCTCACGAAACGTGTACAATTGCTGACACTGTATTTCTTGATAGAACTCTTACGTGTTTTTTATGCAAACTTATAAAAAAGTCATTTAAAAAAAAGTTAATACAGCTTGCGTGAATTGAGAGAGTATGGACTACATGCCTGTGAAGTTGGCATATCATTTCCCAGCAGATCAAAAATAAAATGGAGTTCTTATCGCATGCAGTCGAGTTCTGTAGTTCTTGATACTTTTTAATAATAGTTCTGTTGATTTAAACAAAAAACCAGTCGATCGAAAAAATGATCTGCTAACTTCCCGTAGCAGATCATTTTCTAGCAGATCAAAAATAAAAGAGAGTTCTTGTCGCATGCAGTCGAGTTCTTAGTTCCTGATGCTTTTTAATAATAGTTCTGGCGATTTTATACAAAAAACAGCCGATAGAAAAAAAAGATGTATTTATCATAACACTAAGACGCTGACGGATTTTCGATAGTTCTACGGGTTCTAAACTATTTCTCGTGTAGTTCTGAACACATTTATTCATTTTTCAAAGAATTTTAGGCAGTGGCAAGTCTCTGTTACTTTTTAATAATTCATAATTCCCGAAAAAATCATTTTTAAGCAGATAAGTGTGCTCTGCTGCTCGGAAAGTCGGGGTTCTGGTCCTTCTAAAATATTTCTCTTAGAGCTCTGAATATATATATTCATTTTCCGAAGAATTCTAGGCAGTGGGAAGTCTCCGTTACTTTTTAAAAATTCATAATCCCCGAAAAAGCCATTTTTAAGCAGATAAGTGTGCTCTGCTGGAAAGTCATAGTTCCGGTTCTTCTAAAATATTTTTCGTATAGGTTTGAATATATTTATTCATTTTCAAAAGAGTTTTAGGCAGTGGCGAGTCTCCGTTACTTTGTACTTTGTACCGTTACTGCTGAGAAATGAATTTTTCGGGGATATGAATTTTTTAAAAGTAACAGAGACTTGCCACTGCCTAAAATTCTTTGGAAAATGAATAAATGTGTTCAGAACTACACGAGAAATAGTTTAGAACTCGTAGAACTATCGAAAATCCGTCAGCGTCTTAGTTTTATGATAAATACATCTTTTTTTTCTATCGGCTGTTTTTTGTATAAAATCGCCAGAACTATTATTAAAAAGTATCAAGAACTACAGAACTCGACTGCATGCGATAAGAACCCCATTTTATTTTTGATCTGCTGGGAAATGATATGCCAACTTCACAGGCATATCAGAAATTTCGGAATGCCTGTGAAGTTGGCATATCATATTTCCCAGCAAACCCCCATTTTTAAAAATTCATTTTAACGTCTTTAAGAGGATCCCGTAGCATGTCTGTTTTACCGACATTCGTAGTTATAACCTATCGTCGTATTAAATTCATGGAATCAAAAATGCTTGCGTACAATTACAGTATATGCATTGATGATCCCGGGAAACTCCAATTTTATACCAAAAATGAGTAAAAATTACAAAATTCATATATCGATCACATATAACCGTGTAGACGAACTGTCAACTCCGTCATACTTGTGCTTCGTATAAAAGTTCTACAACTTGTACTCACATGAAACTGAGTTTCCCCGGATTCGATGACATGTAGAATTACTGTGAAACCCTCTAAATTGGGATTAGATGTTTAAAATAAGAGTATAGCTAGAATTAAACTTTCGTGTTTATGGCTGGGTGTGATATATCGTAGTAGTGTGTCCGTGTGCTCATGTAGGTATATGCTGCGTTTCGTGTTTAGATGGCGCACACCATCAAAGGCCTCGGCCTTGGGGGATCCTCTTAATGGGCAGAACTATTTCTAAAATCCATCAAGAACTCTGGAACTATTGTAAATCTATAGGGAACTCGTAAAAAAAGTTAAATTTTTAAATAATGGGGGGCTAACTTCACAGGGGTATGTACTACTGCAATACTTTATGTAGAGGAAAGTCCCCTATTACGAGATAAGCTCCTAATATGAGATAGCAGGGTTTTTGCTAAATTAATAGGCATTATCTATTGGTTTCATCGATTGTTCTTGGAGTGATATCTGTTTGGTGGAAAATTTACTGTTAGATCGTGTAATTGTTGTGAATACAGATTTCTGATTAAATTTGTATGGTGAAAACCTACTATCTCATATTAGAAGGATCTATCTCGTATTAGAGGACTTTCCTCTATATATTTTATAGTTTATAATATATAATTATATTATTATATGTATAATAGGAACGAAAAGAGAGCTATAACTTCATATGGACATTGATGATTTCATCATATGAGATTGATTTCGTTAGATGTCGCATTGCAATAGAAGAAAATACTTTGTTTTAAGAGAAATTTTGTTAGACACGGAAACAAGAACCTTATTTTTCCGTGTTTGGTTAATCCACAGAGCGGACGAACGCTGCAAGAGATAGAGCAACTGCAATCTCAAACTAGTTGTAAACTAATCCTATGATCTGCTCGCGAACGTTTCATACAGCGCGATCCGTTAATTAATATTAACCGTCCGCAGCGCCGTCGTTCCGTGTAAACGTTCCGCAGAAACTTGAGATTCTCCCCCGGTTACGTCGTCGCTTTCGAGCAATTTCCATACCGATTTTATCACTGATGACGTGTATCGGGCATCTATAATATCATTTTCGTTCTTCTAATATTGCATATAATACTCATTTGAATATACAATAACTAAAAGAAAAAAAATTTAGTGACGATGAAAGAACAAATTCGCAATTTCTCTGCATTTCTTTATCTCTGCATTTCTCTGCATTTCTTTAGGTCAAAATTATAAACGTAACTAAATTATTAATAAATTTAAGTCGAACATTTCTTGGTTCCATGAATTTATTGCCCTTTGAGTAAAATCTGTTTAGTGGAAAATGCATTGTTAGATCGTGTAATCGTCCCGAAGAAAGAGTTGCGATTGAATTTGAATGTTGAAAACCTGCTATCTTATATTAGAAGCCTATCTCATAATGGAGGGTTTTCCTATATAAATTTTTGTTTAATGGTTTACAAAACTTTATTGCCAAATGCAACAATTCTGTTATAGTTATAGAAATAATATCGGAAGTTTCTTTGTTTTGCAATCCCTTCATATACGTTTCGCGAACATATTGACCCACCCTCGTATACGTGAAAGATTTCACAGACAACTAATGTGATTTGTTATTTAATTGTAAGATAAAGATCAAATTAATTGACTTCTAAATTTTAAGAAATTTTCTGTGATGTTTGTATGCAACATCGGATGAAATAAAATTTGCAGTGACTTAGTTCTTGACATAAAGATAAATTATACCTGCGTAATTCTTTATTGTTAATTTTTCTACTGAAGTAAAGTTTATTGATTGAAACACAATTGCCATTCTAATAAAAATTATTATTAAAAATAGTATCTTTATCATCAAGGAAGTTGAAGATAAAACTTGATTCTACTTGATTAATGTCTCTTACGATTTTCTTCTATAAAAATGTCAATGTATGAACAAGAATTGTAATTTGATTTCTGCTCTAAATGCATTAATGAGACTAAGATGATTCATAAACCATCAAAACTAATGACAATTTACAGATCTTATCTTGTAATATAATAACTGATATCAGCAATATTTGTAACACATGTTCAATATTGCACGTATATCTTCAAATTATGCTGTACGGAATCTCATTTTTCATTCCACTTAATAGTCGCCAATAATTCTAATATTAGCATAGTTGTCACATAGGACGATTTATAGATGCATAATCACAATGAGATGAGATCAGCGAGGTTCGCTAAAATCATTTATAGCTACGGCATACGTGGACCGTGGCAAAGGTCTAGAACTAAAATTGCTACAAAGGTATAATTATTATTTGTCACTAATGCACACGACGGGCACGCCACAATTTATGATTTGACTATGATAGCCTAGTACCAGACGCGATTTTATGACGCATAAAATAAAATTTCTTCCCAATCCATCACGTGGAAACGCGCATTTCCTTATTGTAGAAGTTGATAAAAAAAAGATTCGAATGGTCGAATGCGTTATTTCTTTCGCCAAAGAAAGACACTAACGTTAAAATTTTCAACAATACAGCTGAATACGTGGTCTATCTAAGCGAGCGATATACCTGCAGTGTTAATTCTCTGTCAATGAGTAATTACGGAAAACACAACGTGCGTCGTGATAATACACATATTTGTGGAATGTGAATTTGAAATAAGTTTACGGACAGCGAACGAATAAGGTAGAAAACGCGTAACGCAAAGAAAAAGAGATTAAAATATCGTTAATGTTTTTTTTTTAATTTAAATCTGCAGAAGAACGCAAGGTTGATTTGAATTGCCAATTTGAATTTCATGAGGTATTAAAGTCATTAATTGCGTGTAACTAAATGTGCTCTCTGTGTGATCCTATACATATTAAAGAGCCACTTAACATAATGTAAATTGTATTTATATCATAATAGAGTTTACAATGTCTGCAGATAAATAGTATCTTTATCACGAAAGTGTACGTATTACATGTGTATTCGAAACAAAGTTTTGCTCGTACAATATTGACTTTTTGTAATTAGTATACTGAATGTAACATTACAAGCAGGGAATACCTTAACTTTTAGATTATGCCTTTTTAATTTTTATTCTATAAAATTGATTATTAACCCGTTATAGGCCGCCAGCAATCTACGGGCTGTGCACTGCCAGAAATTAAAAAATTCAGGACATTAAATCAAAATATGTAAAATTATTAAAAAATTGTTTTCCATACTTAGCGTTCAAAATGGCATACCAATATGGTGGACCAATATTAAAAGAAACTTTTTTCCCTTAGATTTCGGGAATCTGAATGTATATTCGTAATCAGCGACCCAAGAAATCCTTGTATATTACTTTTCACTGAAAAAGAAAACTTTTTTTGAAAATTTGGTCTGCCATTTTGAAAGTATGGAAACATTTTTGCAATAATTTTACATATTTTGATATACTAATGTCCTGAATTTTCTTACTTTTGATAGTCCACAGCTCGTAAATTGCCGGCGGCCTATAATAGGTTAATATATTGTTATTATATAATAGAGTAACATAAATGTAATTAACGACGTACGTAGGTAAAATCTGGACCAAATTTATCTCCAGTATAAATTCTGCGGTCATCATACAGCTAAAACGATAATTGATATAAATTTAAATAAGTTACTAACAATTTATAATACCAAGATCCTTGCTCGGGTTGGTTTGTTGTTTTTACGTTGAAAAATTGATACGATATCGGCATACTTTTTACGAGCAACATAACGTTGTTTTATTAGGTCTTATTCATACGACGTGATAACAAAATAAAGATACTTTAAAATTTTATACATATTAAAATAATTTTAAACTGCTGGGTTATAGCTCGTGACTCATTTTCTTACCGATATCACGACTTAAAATATAAAATCGCATGATTCAGTAATATTAAAGAAACGTTAAAAAATTACTGAATGCATATATATAGTAAAAACTTACCTTTCTAGTATAATATTTTAATATATTATGAAAATAATACAACGTGAAAAAATGCGACAGATGAAAAAGTTTATGAATAACTAATTTTATACAAATTCTGCATTTGTCAATTTTAAACTCATTAACTTTTTGTTCATCTCTACAGTTTTCTCATTATATCACTCTGTCAAACGTAGAGATAAAAAAATAAGAAAAAGTTTAATCCTAAGATAATTTTAAGAGAAAAACAGTTGTGAGAAAAAAACTACAATTTTAGAATTTCAGAATTCTCGACGCAACTAAAATAATTTGTAAAAATTTTTTAATAGATATTCATATAAAAATGTAGCAGTCAGATTCTTTTATTTTCATAAAATTTATAAGAAATAATAAAAAGTTAATAAAATAAAATAAATAATTTGCCGGTAGAGATAACGTTGGAATTATTTCAGTGTTGTGAATTGTATCGTTTTTTTTTTAGACGTAGTTTCTTTGACAGTTATATTTATCATTCGAACAACAATTGTCGTAAAATGAAAATAAAATGGACAATAAGAACTAGTGAAGGATTCTGACAGTGTAATTTTATCGATTAGTAATGTTTTTCGTGCTGTTTTGTTTTATTAAGTCACGATTTTTATATCGCTATAGATTACCAACGAAATGATGACATTAAACCAGGAAAGATAACGCACGTACCGCACGATGTGAATATTAAACTTTTTTTCTGACACAACAAAGTTACAATCGCTAGAAAATGACTTCCATATGAATGAATATCAAACATGAAAGTGTATCGATGTAATGCATACTTTTATGTATCGATATTTAGCATTAGGTAAAATTAAACTATGGTAAATTCTATCAATGACATTATTAAAAATATGTTTTTTATTTCTGATGCTTTTCTCGTAATATTCATGGATTATATTAAATTTTCATATAGTTGTCTTTATAAAATTTATTAACAATTTTAACATATTTCTAGACACAATTTCTTTACGGAAATAATTGTTCGACGATGTTGCTATGAGAGTAAGAGCATTAAAATATTATGACATATTATAAATCTGACTTTCTTTTATGCCTCTTTATATAGTTTTTCAAATATTACAAAATAAGAAATTCACATTAAACATGACTCAATTGCAAAGTGCGATTTTGAGAAAAATACTATGATCTCTTTACGATCTCATTAAAGCACATTAAACCATTTTATGGTTTTGATATATTTTATTATGTCGATAGCAAAACACAAGTTTTTCTATAAATTGTGTGAGCTATGGGGGAGACACATTAAAAGCATAACGTAACATAACGCAGAGTAATTTTCAAGCGAAACAAACCAATATGAAGGCTGTAATTTTCTTATTCGGATTTGCGCTCGTTATTGCAACTATGGCTCTAGCCAGTCCAGTTGCAGTAGCTATTCCCGAAGGCCTGGCCGAGGCTGTAGCCAATCCAGTTGCCGAAGCTGTTCCTGAAGCTGCTCCCGAAGCTCTGGCCGAGGCTATAGCCAAACCTAGTGCCGAAGCTTGGGCCGAAGCTATAGCCGAAGCTTTAGCCAACCCCAGTGCTATGGCCAAGGCTACAGCTATCGCTAAAGCTATGGCTCATGCTATGGCCATGGCTCTGGCCGTAGCTTCAGGGATGGGAGACTATGGTATCAGCCAGTGAAGCTAAGGTATAGTGTTTAAGGTACAATAATCTCGTTTGTTAACTTGAACTGATTTAATTATTTAGCTTGAAAATATATTGTATTATTCATGTATACATATATCACAGTAAAGAGGAGCAAACAAATTTTTTCATACTTCGTAAATTTATGACTTATTGATAGTTATATTATTCATCGCTTATCATTCATAGTTGGCACAAAATAAGTTATTAATTTACAAAATAATTTACAAAATTAATATACAATTACAAAATTTATATTTTTACAAAAATATAATACTTAATATGTTTTTACGCAGCTTTATCATTGAATCATGTTCAATCTTGTGAATTTCTTATTTTGAATTTCTTATTTTGTAATATTTGAAAATTTATATGAGGAGGAATAAAAGAAAGTCAGATTTGTAATATGTCATAATATTTTAATGTTCTTTTCATATGTGTATGATATTAATCTAAAATCTATACATATATCAACAAAACAAATAATATATTTATTAGAAAATATACATTTATATTATAGGAAAAAGAGAGAGTGTATGTGTGCGAACGACCTGGCCCTAGCAGTACTGGATTATGCTAAAACACAAAGTGAAAAAACATATCTTTAACTACACAAAATAAATAAAATAATGAGAATAACTTAAAAGCGTTGTAAAATTTCGCCAATGTCTAATACATTAATGGCGTTACGTTTGTACTAATTAAATACTTGTTAATTTCAAATAAATACACTTAAAACAAAGTAAGTTAGTACGTCTTATTTATATTATTAAAATAAATCAGTCATCCCATATATAGAAATAGAATCTTTAAGAAGTTACAATAAGAAATTGTAACAAATAATTGTATAATATGATTGCATACAAAATATAGCAAAACAGTGTGTCCGTAACATGATTATAGATTACGGATTGTGATTATATCACAATGATTAAATTTATATTTCTGAAATTTAGATTAAAAGATGATGTTATAGAGGAAGAATTTTTATTTTTGCATATATGCTAATAAGAAATGTCCTTTCTCCTTACCTTTTACAAATTTCTCGCAAATTACTAATAAAGTGATATGCGTACTTATTGCAAACACAATTTTAATATTATAAATACATTACATATTATGTGCATGCTTTCCGTGATTTTAAAGAATTGCGCGCAATTTATAAAAAAGTTGCGCATACATACGTGTATGTATCAATAATAGGTACAACCAACACGGCGATGCGTATAAATATAAAAGATATATAATAAAATATAAATACAAATATATAGAATAAATATAATATTAAATTTAAAGAGAATAATAAAGATATATTTGAGTAGACAGTATTGTTATAAACAAAGTTTGTTTACCTCAACTCTCCCCACTCTTGATCCGCCCACAATATGGATTTTTTATTTCAAGCATGGTATTGGCGTTCATGTAACCTCAAAAACAGCAACTAATAAGACTGTACATGTTACCTTCATCATTGCTTGAAAAAAATAGGTATTGACCTAAAGTTTAAATGCCAGGAATTTATACCAACCTTGGTAATTTATACCACAAAAAGTCGTGTTTAAAATAGCATAAACATTACTTAACATAAGAGCTCACAAAATTTAAAAATTTACCAATATTTGTAAAATTTTATTTGAATTTTGATAACGTGATCTTTATATTTGATCGTAATAGTGTCTAAAAAAATAAAACCAATATTTATGTTTACGACATTCACGATCTGAAATGTTTTTACGTTATTTATATTAAAAAATAACCTTTTTAAAAAACAGGTAAAAAAAGACGCCAAGTATAAGCGCCATCCAATCGAGAATTATATAATTTAATTATTTGAATATATTTTATTCGAAGAAAAAAAACATTATCTTCTCTACAAAAGTAGTGATATTATTAAATTGCGCCAACTAAAATGGATATTTATACAAACTAGATACTTTATTATTTTAAAGTATTGTGTCCAAACAATCAAACATAAGATTTTACCGAAAGACATAAAGGAGATATCAATAATATCAAATTTTTAATACTTATTTAATAAAAATAATAATTTAATATTGTAATGGAAACATTTTTCTTAAACATTTGGATTTTGAAATAAAATTTTTTTAGGATTACGGGAAACTTTTTTAATAAGTACATATGTGTATGTACTGTTAAATGTATACATATTATCGTATTTGTGTCGATTTAAAAGTCATGAAATACTCAAAACGTGCAGTGTGTGACTGTTTGTAGCACATATACTATACGAGATAAGATATATATTGCGATTTTACATATTTATATTATGTATTGTACCGTAGTGATAAAAATTAATGATAATATGCACATATCGTTTCAAATATCACACGTTTTTCAAATATTAACTTTCGCGCGTGTCACGATGCTTGATATGTTCGTCGTGACTTCAAAAGTAAAAAGTACGTATTTTCTATTTTTATTCTTGATAATCCTTATTCGCCAAAACAACTTTCACTATAAATTAGTCACTCCACGAAATCAACTGTAGAAAAATACATAACGTGACATAATACATTTTATTTTCTTAACACTACGAGAAAGCGAATATGAAAATCATAATTTTATTATTTGCTGTAATTGCGATCTTAGTCGCAGTTAATATCCCGGCTATTAATGCAGTGTCCGACGCTGAACCTGCGGTTGATGAGGTATGATAAATTGATTCCATTCAATATTTCAATGATTTCTTTTAACGTTATTCTAAATAAGAATTAAAATAAAATGCAATAGATCAGTTCAGTCGACCTTAACTGGCTCTTGTTTAATAAATTCAATAAAAATAAAAATATAATGTGCAACGTTTCGACACCGTGTTTGAGTCCTTATCAAGTACAAATTCTTAAAATTAATTGATATCAAAATTGAGTTATTGTAATAAAACATTGAACAGTAAAAAATTTGTATGTAACAAGTTGAGTCATGATTGTAAAATTAACAGCACAAATTGAAATGACCAAAGTCCGCCGTTATTGGAGACCGAATGGATCTTTATATGGAAAATAAAATGATATATCTAATTTCACATGTATATAGATTGTCAAATATAAATGTATAATATTTGATCGCACATTTTATAAATAATTATCGTTAACCTGTTACACTGTCAATCATATATTTTTCCAAGCAAGCAGATCTCTTTACACGGAATAGTTCTTTATTAAGAATTCTTTACATGTTAGTGTACGATTAATTATTTATTATTATTGCTAGTAGTATTTGTTTATTGACCCTTGGGGGGTGCAAAAACGGACCTCCGCTCCGTTCACATATTTCAACCTTATACTATTTTAAACGCTCGCACGAGAGAGAGGAAATCATACTTCTCCACATTCATCCTTCATTTATCCATCCATACCTCCAAGACCTCCGTTTCCGCCATATTCTCTACACTTTCCATTCCTCCTTCATCCATCTCTACTTCCCTTCCCCCTCTTCACTCCTCTATCCTCTTCAGCCATTATTATTGCTAGTACAAATGTACAATTAGATTAAATTTAATTACAATTTACAAAAGCATACACGTCTTACACTAAATATAATACATTATTTGAAATATTTTGTTACGTGTATTTTCGATAGTATTTAAAGTATCAGACACACAAAACAGGAATAAGAAATGTGAATATCATTTTTATTAACGCATTTCTTTCAAATTGTTATGCGTCTCTATGCTTAATATATGTTATAAGATTGTTATTCTTTTAAATTTTTAAATTTTGTGCTACATTTGTAAAGTTATGCATATGCATATACAAAATATACGCAAACACACACACACACACACACACACACACACACACACACACACACACACACACAAAACAAAACATGAAGGAGGAAATTTTAAATTTTATTTAAGTTTAAATTATGTTTATATTAAATGTATAATGGTATAACATTTTTAAATTCCTATTATTCCCGTATTATTTTAAAGTTTCAGCATTATCATTAGATTATCACATTTAATAACGAAAATATATTCATAATTTTAGGCTGCTATAAGAAAATGGGGCAAGGAAGCAGCGGCTCGGTTTGAAAAAATATTGAACGGAAAATAAGGATAATAAGGAAAGTGTAATAATGCCTTAATGTTTAATCTTATCTAATACGTTGTCGATCGACATTAAATAAATTAATTAAATGTTTGTGAATTTTAAATAAACGCACCGGCAAATTAAAAATCCTAATTGTCAAAATATTTAATAATACCCATGAAAGCATTTTTATCCCAAGCTAGCAAGAATGTATGCAACGTTGAAATGCGCAATAAATAATAATTTAGTATTTGTGAGATGAACATTGTTCTCTATTTCGCCAAAAAAATTAAAATAACAATCACTGCATACAGGTATATAAAATGCCACATAAAACTTAAGCCAGATAATAAATTCAGGTCGGAATATAGTCTTGATCTAAATAATAAAATGATAATTAATAAAATGTATATATGTACAAGATCTACTGAACAGACCGTCTTAAATATAATACTAATTTGTGTATTTATGTGAGGAAATATCTTGTCAAAATTACAAATATTTTATTAGAATTAGAAAATGTCCTAGCTGGCAATTATGGACACATAAAATATGCAGCTTAGAATTTGAGTTTTAATCTACATATTTTTCTCAATCTTTGTCATTTCTCTAAATCGTAATAGCAATAATTTGTAGAAAAGAATATTGAGAACGAATTAAAAACTACAATTATATCTGCTAGCACCATAATTGAAATATTAAAAATAAGCAGTAACTAAAATAAATAAAAATTCTCCTTCTTCTTCCACGTGTATTAGACTTAAAGCCTATTTTATCCAGTTCGTTATGGTACTTTGAGCATTTGGTTTTACTTCATCTTCGGTAGGCTGTTAACCTTGCCGAAGGAAACCTCCCATCTAGAATGGCTATACCCCGAAAGAGTATGTGTGGCAAGATACTCTCGGTGGTTGCCACTTCCCTTCGGGAAATTCCGAAAAAATCCAGCGATGTCCGTGGATTTAAACTTGGATTTTTTCGTTCATTTGTTTACTAAGCAGCGCGTATTTCGCTGCGCCACACCTTGCCACATCATATAAGAATAAAAGACATTTATTCTTAATATTTTTTATTTGTTCTTATGCTATATTAAAACTGTAATATATGTAGATATATTAGGTATACAACTTAATTCTCGGCCCATACATTTAATCGGTTATAGTACTTATTCAACTTTAAATTTTCTACCGCATGGTGGTTTTAAAGCGCCATTCGCTGACTGTGAAACGAGGTAGAGTAGGTGGTAGCGCGGTTGACATAATTTTAGAAACAGATAGGGACAGCGTTGCTATTCGAAAAGCAGCACCTAAGATACTGCCTTCTTTTCGTATTCCAACCAAACAAAACGTGAGCAAGGCCAAAGAAATGATTTGCTCGTAAAAAAAATTACCCATATTTGGCTCTTATCCATTATTTCAAGTTGGTTGGTCACAAAAACGTTGACAGTAATCACTAAAAAAATTAAAAATATGGGTTTTGAAGATCGGGTTTGTCACTTTAATTCGATATATAACAACTGTCTCGTTCTGTTCGTTTTTACGTGTTAAAACGTCACCAATGTTAACCAATCTGCGAAAACGGCTATTTCATGTGCCACAACCTAATACATATACATATAATACAATTATTTGTGTATGATCAAATATTTAATTAAGAAAGTTGCCAACATGTCAAGATATAAAGTTTGATAAGGT